AGATGTTGCCACCTTCGAGACAAACTCGTGAGTATCGTATTTCAACAATATGGCAGTAGGATTTTATCGAGCTACTCTCGTAATCTTATGATTGTTTTCTCTGTTTTTCAGATGGCCAGTATCTTTCGAGCATCTCCTACTACAAATCGTAAAAAGTGGAACTCTAACTCCAGCAAAAAAGAAGAAGCAAATTGCAGCAGGCAGTGAAGTGATCACTGCCGGACCCAGCAAAGACACTTTCCAATTTTTCCAAAGTCTGAAGGTAGCAATTTCGTGGGCCAGATTTCGTTAGAAGAAGAATATGACGAGGAGGAACTATTTCTTGGTTCTCCGTCTGAATTTTCTGTGGGAGATTGGGTTCTCGTGGCTTTCAAAAGCCAAAATCGGGATAGAAATGACATTTTATATATAGGCCACGTGATTTCTCTCACTGAAAGTGATACCCAGGTGAAGTTCCTGAGGAAAAAAACAAAGTGCTTTGTTTTTCCTCAGAAGATATATCCCTTGTAACAAAAGAGGATATCCTTAAAGTATTACCAGCTTCACATGTTAGGAAAGGAATGCATAATTTCAATATTAAGTTTCCGCAAGATATGCAACATAAATTAAGATAAACTGTACAATTTTTGCATTTAAATAAAGTACTTTCTCATTTTTTGGTGTGTCGTTAGACCCTTCTGAAGTTATTTTGTTTCCAAAATTATGAAAATAAAAAAAATTAGAACTGTTCAGAAAAACCTACTAAATAAGTGCACTTACCCCAACGCAAGGAAACTATATAAAACCTTGCCTGAGAGACGCACTTGGCCCAAACTGACAGGGCAAGTGCGCCACTGCGACATGTAAGAGAAAAAAAAATTATAATTAATAATCGTGAAAAGCCACAGATTTGGAATTCTCCCTAAATATAGATCATTGTCAAAGTACTTGGTGCACTTATACTCGATTTGGCAGGAATATCCCAATTGAAGCATTTATACAATTAAAACCAAATATGAATAAAAGGGGGCGCACTTCCCCCACCTTATCCTACCATTTCTAGTTCGGAAATCATTTTGGGAAATTTGAGATGGATATTTTGACAATGATTTCGGAAATGGAAGTCGAAACGCCAAAATAAACTTATTTTAAACTTAAATTTTGACTTATTTCCATTAAAAATAGTAAATTGTATTAAGACGCCACAAGAAAATAGCTTCAGAATAATATGTTATAACTGCAATATGGGTATAATGATCAATGTGGTCTTTAGTTAATAAATGCTTATGCGACTTTGATATTGACCGTTATTTAACCTTAAATGACTCATACGATACACATTATTAGTCAAAATAAATTAAATAACGTTAGTTTTTCAACTTAAAAATAACACAATACAGTAATTATATCAACTTTACCGCAATATGTTTCGAACGTTAATTTTGCTCTCTTAATAATTATATTTTGAGTCAAAAGAAAAGGCAAAAAAGTATTTTTGAAGTGTGTATATTTTTTAATAATTCCTAGCTGAGCGCTTTCGGCTTTACAAAGCCATCATCGGAGCTATGCTACAATAAAATGTTTTTATAAGTAACTAATTGGTGAAGATTTTAATTTAATACTTACGTCAATTTATAAATACCACTACAATGGAGAGATCTCATTTCCTTATTTGTTGAAATTTTGATTTTTTTAATTACTTAAGTTTTTAAAAATTCTTAAAAAACATACAAAAAACCGACACTGGACTTCACAGGCATATTAAAAAATTTTTTTAGACACTTCATTTTTAGAAAGTGTTTGATGACTATTAGTAATTCCAAACTATTAAATTATTTTGTAAGAATTTTAAACAATCTCTATTTCCTATACATGACATTTGTCAACTGTCACTCTTGAAAAATCGTTTAAAGGGACCGACATTTGATTTCATTAGTTCTATTCTGTCTACCTCCTCATAGTAAACAATGGTCGGGTTCTTACACCCGTACCATGACAAAAATTTTTTAATGTGTCTGTGAAGTCCAGTGTCGGTTTTTTGTATGTTTTTTAAGAATTTTTAACAACTAAGTAATTAAAAAAATTAAAATTTCAAGAAATAAGTGGTAATCAAAATATAATTCATAATGGCGGTGTTAGATTTTTGTTTCGATGCAGGGCAGCGGCAAGCCGCTTATACGTATTTCGACCTCTTTAGGTCTCGTCAGAGCGGTATAGTCACTACTCACTACACCAGTAGTGGCTATACCGCGTTAATCTCCTCTATCTCCGCTAGTTAGAGGAGACCTAAAGAGGTCGAAATACATATAAGCGGCTTGCCGCTGCACTGCATTGAAACAAAAATGTAACACCGCCATTATGAATTATATTTTGATTGCCACGTCCTGCTCATTATTGCCTTGAAAATTCTTTGGCATACTGACAACATTGAAATCAATGTGTTCTCCAAAATTTTCATTTTCTCAGAACTTTTTCTAAATATTAAATCGTTTTATGTCAAGTAGTGCCATTTTTAAGTTAAAAGTTCGACATAAAAAACACCCTGTGTCTGTTACCTGGAAGTTTTGGTACACATGAAAGATATTTATTGCGTTTTTTAGGATTTATTTTTATACAGAGTGGAACAGCCAAATGGAATATATTCGATATTAAATAAAAGGGGGCGTGTGTTCAAAGAAAAGGTTGGGCACTTCGACGGATATTTTTAGCTGCGTATTTTTTGAAACAAAAACTTTTCATACAGGGTGTGTCACCCTGTATATTATTCATTTTTGGATTTCCAAGAATAATCTATACATACAGGGTGTTTCAAAAAAAGTTAATTCCGTCTCTAGGGTAGGTAAAAAACTGAAAAATAATTGAGGTTCACTTAGTAAAAAATTTTTGTAACGCCATCCGTTTTCAAGATACAGGGCGTTGAAGAAAAAAAAATTTACGCATTTTTTACGATTTTGCCGAAACTACTGGCAACATTGTAATGAAATTTTATACGAATATGTTTTGGAAGCTGATACATCCCATGAATTGGTTTTTATATCTGATTCTCATAGAGGGCGCTAGTAACGCGGATCGTACTAAGTATTAGCCAATATAACTTTTTTAAGAGTATAATTATTAATCAAAATTTCAAGTAAACTTAAACATCATTCAATTTTATACGAAAAATGTACTCTTGGTAAAACTCGATACTGTGTACCGTTTTCGGAATATTTTGATTTGAAAATTATGAAGTAATAATTGATGCTGGTATAAAACAGTTAGTAATTAAACAAAACTCACAAGAAGAAAACTAAATTAATGCACAATTAATTTAAATAATAATAAATTAATAACACAAGTCTATTCTTCTTTCTAAAGATTCTATTAACCTTCTAAACAGTAGGGGATCAGCTATCATGTCAGCTATGATGTTATTTTTTTCCTTAATTTACGACCAAACTGCGTAGTCCAAAGGGTTAAAATCGCATGACCGAGGAGGCCAATGAATCGGAACATCTGCACCTCCACCAATCCATTGATTCGGAAAATGATTACTCAACCAAATACGACATCTTCTATCAAAGTGTGGTGTAGCTCTATCATGCATCAAAAATAAAGATCTTCGCTCGTTTAGCGTTAAATCTTCTAATATCTCCAATAAGGAATTGTTTAAAAAATCAAGATACATATCACCATTTAAATTTTCAGGTAGAATATGATAACCTATTAATTTGTTAAAGTTGCTGCCCAAACAATAACTTTAAATGAGTGTTGGTAATGTGATACCCTTTTGACTCGTGGATTCTTATAACACCAGTAGTATGCATTATGGGAATTAAACATACCTTGTCGCGTAAAGGTGGCCTCGTCCGTAAAAAGAATGCATTTTAAAAAATTTGGTTTGTTGGCTGTCCAATGTTGCAATGTTTCACAAAAATCCACTCTAACCGGTAGATCATCTGGCAAGAGCTCTTGGACTTGTCTGTAATGATAAGGATGTAATTGCTGTTCTTTCAGTATTCAAAAGAGTATCTTTTTCGTGTAAAATTAAATGATGTTTAAGTTTACTTGAAATTTTGATTATTAATTATACTCTTAAAAAGTTACATTGACTAATATTTAGTACGATCCGTATAACTAGCGACCTCTATGAGAATCAGATATAAAAACAAATTCATGGGATGTATCAGCTTCCAAAACATATTCGTATAAAATTGCATTACAATGTTGCCAGTAGTTTCGGCAAAATCGTAAAAAATGCTTAAATTTTTTTTTCTTCAACGCCCTGTATCTTGAAAACGAATGGCGTTACAAAAATTTTTTACTAAGCAAACCCCAATTATTTGTCAGTTTTTTACCTACCCTAGAGACGGGGTTACCTTTTTTGAAACACCCTGTAGAAAATTATATGATTTGAATAAATCACTTTATAACTCAATTTCAATTTATACAGACTTAATACATTCTTATTAGATCTGTCGGAATAATTAGGTTATTAGTTTTACATAACAAAAATATGTACATATATTTGTTAGTTACTAACAGCTTGATTTAACGCAACGCTGGATTTTCTTACCGTAAGAGTGAGCAAATGAATATAAACGAAGTATCTCAAGTTTTCATTAAGTCAAAAACGTATTTTCCACTACCCTGGCGCGATTTGGGACATATTTTTTAAAACCCACAAGCCCCAACACACAAAAAACTTACCCTAAAGCGGAAATACATAAAACATTATTACCCTGTCAAACTTAAAAGCAGTGTTAAAGTTGTCTACTTTTACAAAGCTACTTGTTATTTTAATATGTCAAAGTACCAAAAGATCTATATAAAAAAGCAAAAATTAGACTTGTAAGAATTTACCAACTGCTTTTTTGAAATCTATAGCAGAAAAAACCAAATATTATTTCCTCTATAGCGATTTCTTGTCATAGATCTAGTAGTAAAATGATAAAAAAAAAACAGATCAAATTCGAATCCTCATGATCTTGTCTTTTTGGTCATATTAGTGAGATACGAAAAACACAAAGGGGGTTAGTTATCTATTTTGTATAAGACGTCGTTAATAAACAACACTCCCAAAAAAATTTTCTAGTCAAACCTGGATTCATAGCATAATAGAAATCTCGCCATTCGTCCATCCAGACTTCAGCCACTCTGGCGGCGTTGTGCAGAACTATCTTTGTCACTCCGCCCGGGAAAGTGTAGGGGGATTTGTCTCTAAATACATGACCCACGTGAGAACAAGGGATGATCTCCAAGATGCCTCCGCACTGCCATACCTAGAGAATTTTTATTAGACTTTATTAATAGGTAAAATATCGATTGCGGACTAGGACATCTGTAAATAGGTATTAGTTAAGATGATAGCTTTTTGTTAGACACAGGGTGGGAACAAACAAAAAAATGCTCAAATAAAGAAATGAAGTGGATTTATTAGCAAAATTAATAATATGTTTTTAATTGGTTGTAAAAACAACAAAAATAAAAAAAACTATGACATTGTCGTAGTTTTAGAAAAATGTGCACATAACCAGCAAATTAAATTAATTATTATTTTCTATTGCCTTAAACCACAATTTATTGATCATTATATTAAGAAATAGTTTTTATTTACATTTGCTTTGACGTTTCCAGTTGACTTTGAATAGAGTCGATTGTGCTCAGACTGCTCACTGTATTTATAGTAATGGTTTATGATTAAAAATGGCTTAAATTGACGACATTAGTAATTTATCTGCATCTACAATTATGTACCTCCAAAACAACACTCGTCTGCAGAATCGGAATTAGAAGGTAGTTACAAATTTGATAAATTTATTTATACTTTTATAATTTTTAATAGTGTGCTTTGTCAAGAATTTCTAAATATAAGATTGTTTAATTTTTACGTCGTAATTAGGGGGTACATTACATTGGTGACAAGGCGTTGTTGCCAGATCTATTTATAATATTTATGTTTTGGTATTTTTAATATACAGTGAACGGCTAAATTATGGAATATTATCATTATTTCGAGAACCCTCGAGTTTTGAGGGAAATCCCGTAACAGGTAGATTTTTGTTATAAAAAATCGGTATAATGCGACACCTCATTTAAACGAGAATTTAATTCACTAAACTGTGGTTGCAAAAAGAAGTGCTATCAAACATTTGAGGAAGATGAAAGGAAACGTATATTTCAATATTTCTGGAATTTGGACGACTATACTAAACAGCATATTTATATTCGGAGCTCTGTATCGGCTGAGTTTATGAAACGTAAACGAACCAGGGATGAAACCGGCAAAAACAATGTCATACGAATACATCTTGCATGATCACTAAATGCAAGCATCGACAGGCGGTCAAAACTAGACCTTATGAGAAACTGTTTACACCGTCATTATTTGTGTCATGATACTATAACTTAAATGTTTTATGTATCATGATTTATGTTTTACTTCCGTTGGCTGGTGAATTTTGTGAAAATAGTTAAATGTAATGTAAATCAATAACCTGTAAAAAACGGTATAAATATATTATAGCGAGTGCTAGTTCGTTTTTGTTCAGCGGTGTAAACGTGGGAAAAGTGATAACATAGAGAGAGGAATATTTAAGAGTGCGTGCCATTCACGTGATCATTCCATCTTTTCAGCGATTCAACTATAGTGCTTTTTCCTAGGTCGGTAGGTAGTTTCAGAGCTAGTCGATTAATAAAATTGGCATCCCAAGTGTCTTTTTATCGTTACGCGAGTGAGATTTCATTTTATTGATAAACGATTAGCACCCAGTGATCTGTGTGGTAGATTTACTGCTACGCATACGTTGCAGCTATTTTGTTACAACAGTTTGAAAATGAGAGATATCAATATGATAATAGTCGAAAATGAAGGTAATATATTTTGTATTGCAAAACAGAAGGAAACGACAGCATGTAAGGATATGTATTTACGGAATAACGAATATATTTCTTGGTTTAATGATAAAAAAGCTAATTACTGTAGAAATTATTACATGCCAAGCATCGTTAAAACTGGTGCATGCATTTTATCAGCAAATTTGTATTTTTTTGAATAATATATATAGATAGTTAAATATTTCTGCGTTTCTGATAATTTTTTACAGTTATGTATGAATTATTTAGCATTTTTAACCGATATTTTTGTTTTATGGGAATAGAAATTTAGATAAAGGTGTTTCAGTAGGTACCTACAACATTTGCACTAGTTTCAAGCCTAAAACAACGATAAATTGAACAATAAGAAAACGCGATGAGAAAAATTAGCAATAAAAAGTTTCTTTTAAAGCTTGTGGATTTTAAATGCTGTATGGCGGTGTTGGTAACACGATTTAAGTCATATAAACTAACTAAATCAGTCAAAGCAAACATTTTTAACAAGAAATACTATATTGTAATAAAGAATAATGAGATATCTGTAATGAATGACTTAACATCCACATAATTTACTGTGTTTAAATGGTAGCATTATAATTTTTGAGCACTTTTTCTTTTTTGTTGATATTGATTATCTTTGTGAATTCCAATTTGACAATACTCATATTATTCTCATTTAAGTATCTCTGAGGTATACACTGCCTCTAGTTGATACAAGTTGTAAAAACATTGCCGTTGTCTGTTAGCTACTATAAACAAAAAAACAATCAATATCAAACGAAAAATTCTTTAAATAATCAAGCAGCACACTACAATTTAAATTATCTAAAATACTTTACCCTGAAACTCATCTCCAAGTTTTCTCCTCCCCAAATGTCCATTCCTTCGTCATACGACCCTAACTCATAGAAGTAGTCCTTGTCGATAGAAAACAGACCTCCTGCCATGGTTGGCGTTCTTAAGGGAGCCGTCCGATCACCTCCTCTTCGATCCATTTCTCTTTGCGGCACACGGTACCTAAAAAATTGATATATATGTAAAATGTTTGATGTAATTTATAAAGACAACCAAATTAGTTTTTGGTTACGACTATCATCATCATCAAGGCCTTTCATTGGCTTGTGTTATAATTTTCTTGGACTATTTCGATCTGTGCATAAGTCCCTAAAGTTTCTCACTTCCAGGATTCTGATATCTCTTATGACCTGGTCCTCCCATCTCTCTCTATGGCCCTCCCTTGGTCTTTCAGTTTCTGGCTTTCACGTGGTAACCTTCTTAATCAGTAGGTTGTTTTTCCTTCTCTCTGTGTATCCCAGCCATATCAGTTTCTCCGCTTTAGGAAAACTGCACTTTATCCTGTATCGATACTGCTTGCTATGTATATATTTTTTTATTTGTAACTACTATTTTTCCAGTTTTCGTGGAAGCGAAACAATATTCCCGTTTATATAAAACTTACATACACTGTTACCAAGTCGGATTAAGGCTATAAACAAGCAATATTTTAGGCAAGAAACAATTAGAAACATCTCAAAAAAGATCTTACTGTATAAAATATATTACACAGGGCATTTACTTTTTGCCGACCTATTAAGACAAGACATTGAAAAGTGTAATACGATCAAATACTGTAAATAAAACTTACTTACCATCTAAAATTCAATTTCCAATTGAATCCACCCCAAGTCATATCGGATGCGGTGATATACTCGAAAGTTTCGTCAGAAATAACGTCGATTATGGGACAGACGACCGTCTTGCGATCTTCCACTATTCTCGCCAACAACGGTTCCAGCCATCCTTCCGTGCATTCGCAATGAGCGTCCAGAAAAGTGATGACTTGTCCTTTGACGTGCTTGGCACCTAACAACCGAGCTCTTATCAAACCAGACCGACGCTCTGTACGGAGAACGTGAACAGGTACTGGAAGTTTTGCGACGTAGTCCTCTAGTTTCTTGCCTAGATGCTCTAAACAAAACAAAAATAAGAGAATTTAAAAATTTTTATTGTACCTATACAAAAATTCACATATCTAATATCGCATCAATACAGATTATGTTGATTTTAAAGGAAACTTGTAAGAAGATAACTAGATAATATTGAATAAATATTATTTGATTAACGAAATTGGACAAAAAATATGACAGTCTACTTTATGTGCATATTTTTTGGAAATTAGAAATCTTACGCCATCTAGGCTTTGTTCTTCTCGTCCTTTGTAATATAAGACGTTACCGGGCTCTAGTGTGATGCACTCTTCCCCTTTTCTTTTTACCTCTGCTAGACCAATGATGTCCATTTTAAGTACATCATGTCTTCTTCGAGTTCGTAGACTTTTATAAAAAAAGAAAAAAGGTATAATAGGTGTTAAATGAATCTATCTATAACCCCGTTCAGCATCACGTCTACATATCTCTTAAATTTGATCGTTATTTGAAGAGCAAAAACTTTTTCTCCTCACCTCGTACCATTTTTATATCTTAATCGTATTGATAAATTGATCCATCTCCTTTCACCGCTTCGATGGCTCATTTAAGTTATTATTTCAACAAATAGTTCATTATATAAAAAATATAATAGCGATTGCAGCTGGCCAATTCATTACACAGTCCAGAGAACCTGCAACCGCCGAAGAATCAAAACGTCTGTGACCACTGATTTTAATTTCTTGCTCTGATTTATCTGTGAACTTGTTAAACGGATATTTGCGTTGAATGACGTGACTGCGAATTTGAGACTTTAAAAAATAAGAGGATAGAAACCGGTGGGACGTTACACAAGGGTAGAAGCGTGAAAAAGGTTGAAAATTACATTGACAGCTTTATGAAGAAACTAAAAGTACTGTTACAGTAGGAAATATAAGCAAAGTTACAGTTATGTAACACTGTTTTTATTTCTTACTAGAGATAGTTAAATTAATGCGCATCGCTAAGTTTTTGTATCATTTATTTATCTAGGATTAATATTTGTTGAAAAAATTGTTAGTCGTAGCGTAGTAGTCTAAGATCCTACTCCAGGATCACTACGTTCATAACGTAGTTAATGAAACTCTTACTGATAATTTTTCGACTGTTCTAACAACCATTCAAATTTCGTCATTTTGTGTTATGTGGAACAATTTCACCCGATCATGTCAACATTAGACTGATAATTGCATTCAGCGCAATTTTCAATCCCTATGACAACACGATCGAGTTTGACAACTTCATCTAAATATATTTCAAAATGTCACGTTTCTATAAAACCATACTTGAATCTCGATCAAGAACACCACAACAAGATTATAAATATTATGCGTGGTAATAAATCTTCGATAGTAGAGAACAGCAACGAATCTAATGTTAACTTAAATTTTAATAATTGTACTTTCACTAACTGTACTTTTAATAAATAAATGTTTCGTTATGTTGCGTTATGATTTTTTTTTTTTTTTGAAAAATTATCCGCCGAATATCCCTCGGACATTGATGAATGCCTCATAATTTCATGACAAATTTCTCAAGCTCGTTGCTTGGTAACAGCACTCAGCCTTCGGCTTCGTGCTGTTACCAAGGAACGAGCTTTCGATTGTCATGAAATTATCTCCTCTGCTATCAATGTCCTAGGGATATTACTACTGATAATAGTCCAAAAGTGGCCGCAAATATTTTTAGTTAAATTAGTAGTAATAGTTTTTAAACAAAAATGTTATTTCGTTCATCTATTGTTTAAATGAAATATGCATTCCGAGTGTGTACTTGAACGAGGTAACATCGTATCAGTGTTTTGCTCCGAGTTTCTGTGCTTTTTGTGAAACCTAACAACTACTTTTAAATACTAGTAAGAGCAGGCTTTACCGTATGTGTTGATAAGCCTAACTGCATGTTTGTTTTTTTTGGAGCGATTAGTTAATTAGCAAATTAATAATTTCTTCAAAAACTGTGCCAGCTTCCAATGGCGTAGGACTATCTAATATGTATTCTAAATTTAACAAATAATTAAATTTTCGTCTACCTTTGACTACAAGGGTACCGATAACAAATACATTTCTCACATCAGATCCTCACAGTTCACAACTTTTCAAGATGTCACCACATATTCAGCATAATTGAATCGGTGAGATGAAAAAGGTACACATTCCAAAAAATGCGAATTTAAACTGAGATCGCCATTTTGTTTCTAAGATCAAGTTCCATCTATGGAGTTGAAAAAGGTACACATTACATTACAAAATATTACTTATGCAGAGGTCAAAATATTCCGTTGAGTTGAAAAAGGAACACATTCCTGGAATGTGTCCCTTCTTCAACTCGACGCGTGTCACACAGCGCAAGTGTAGTGGGAGTCCGCACAGTTATCGTTTGCGCATATCCGGCTTCTACACATAAACGGCCAGTCATTTATCTGTTGTTGTTTAGTTAGTGTGGAGCTGTGTTATAACGTAAACAGTTAACAGTGAATAGTTATAGTGTGTTATTTGCGATGTCGAGTTCAGACAGTGAAAATGTAGAGCCACGCCGGAAGAAGGGAAAGTTAAATAAAGAATTGCATGTCAGAGAGATGGAAAAAATTGCTAGACGCAAGGGTGAAGAGTTTGTTACGTCATCAGGTAAACTAGTTGAAGCTAAACAAACTGGCCCTGACTGTCAGTGTAAGAAACAGTGTATGTCTAAGCTATCAGATGAAGACAAAAAACGTATTTTAGAAAAACTTTATGCTGGCCAATCAAAAAATGAACAAGAGACCTTTTTAATGGGGTGTATTGAAAGATTCGATGTCAAACGGCACAGACCAACAGTTGATCATTCAAAACAAATCAATGTCTCATTTAAGTATTATGTGATCGTGTCTGGAAATCGTTCAGAAGTATGTCGCAAAGCATTCATAAGTTTGTATGCAATTTCACACAAAATAGTTATCAGACTCACAAATCTCTTGGCGAAGGGAATGTCTCCTCTTGCCATGAGAGACAAGCATTTAAATCGTGTTAATACTATTCCAACCACTATAACTACCAAAATACATGAACATGTCGATTCATATCCTAAATATTTAACCCATTACACTAAGCAACCTATAACCTATTTGGATGCTAAGCTAGATGTACTGAAAATGTATGATATGTTTCTTCAAAAACACCCTGACCTTGGAACAAAAGTAAAGTACGAGTTTTTTCTAAAATACTTCAAAGAAAATTTTGGATATAGATTTGGGAAGCCACAAGTCGACGTATGTTCAACTTGCGAAGACCTTCAAACTAAACTAAAATCCACTACATTGAATGATAACGCTAAACGTACCGCTGCTGCAGAGCTAATAGTGCATAAGAGACGTGCAAAAAAATTTTACACTAAGCTCAATGAAGTGAAAGAGTTGAGTAAAACTAGACCTAATGTAATGGGGATAGTTTTTGAATACATGCAAAACTTACTGCTACCCAGTTTGCCCGTACAAGAAATGTTTTTTCTGAGAAAGTTATGGTACTATGTATTTAATGTTTATGATTTTAAAAACGATAGGGCAGTATTCTACACATACCCCGAAGGTGTTGCAAACAAAGGACCAGATGAAGTCACCTCTTTTGTATTAGATTTTCTTTAAAATGAAATCCCTGCAGAGATTACGGAACTCCACATTTTTAGTGACGCATGTGGCGGCCAAAACCGCAACCACACTATGGTGAGGGTACTTTCAGCCCTCACTATGACCGGTAGATTTACATCAATCCATCAATATTACCCGGTAAGAGGGCATAGCTTTTTGCCATGCGATAGAACTTTTGCAGTTATTAAGAGAGCAGTACGAAAATATGATCGCATTTATTCTCCAGACCAATACAAGGCCATCATAGAAAACGCCAAAAAGATTCAACCAACTTACAAAGTAAAAGAAGTAAAAAATGAAGATGTACTAGCCTGTAAGAAGTGGTGGCCTCTTTACTTTGTTAAATTACCAAAAAGCCTTGAAGATAAAAGAATATCTTTTGCCATAAGCAAATATAGTTATCTGATTCACAGAAGTGACCGGAAAGGATACGTGGTAGCGTCATCGTTCATTGGTGGTTTTCTCTCACACACCTTTAAACTTACAAAATCCAATGATGTAGTGCTTCCTTCAAGCAAGGCTTACGATTATGGAAAGGTACCTATTAAGGCAAGCAAGATCAATGACGTCATGAAACTCATCAAATACATTCCAGAGGAATACTTGCCCTTTTATGATGAACGTCGTACTTGGCCAACGACAGAAGCTGAGACCCCTGATGAAAATGATGAAAATTAACTTTCCATTATTGTGCTGTAAACTTTTTTTATAAATCATGTATGTATTTTAATATTACATTGCTATATTTCAAATTATTTTGTTTCATGTTGCCTTAAAATCTCATTTGCAAGATATTGAGTGTAAAAAGGGACACATTCCATTATCTAAAATGCTAATAACTCAGACATAGTATTAAAAAAACCAAAATAACCATAACAGTTGAATGTCTTCCATTTACTTGTGAAACTTCATAATGGAACCATTTTCTGTAACATATTTAGTTTTGCAGATAAACAGTTTTTTTTAGTTCCTGAAAAATAGCCATTTTGGAATGTGTACCTTTTTCAACTCACCGATTCAATTCTACTTTAACTTCCTCATACGCAACTGCAACCAAATCATCTTCTAGATCAACTTTTCCAAAGAGGGATCAAGCCATAGTATTGCATGCCGATGAAAATCTAAAATTGTTCGATTACGTCAAGGCATTAGGGCTATTGGTCCCAAACAAATCCTATTCGCATCCAGTGACCCCTACGCTGAAGCTCTTAAGTTTATAGAAAATGTTCCAGGGCTAATTTCTAACATTCAAGCATTATACCTAACTTGTCAGGAGAGATCTACCAAAAACAGGCTAACCCGTCTAACCAAAAAACTGATAAGGTCCTTAGGCACTGAACCAGAAGAACGCGAAAGTCCAAATCTTTGCGCCGATTCTAATGAAGATAACTACAATTTACAAGAAAGATAACAGTTTAAGGCAAACTTAAAGGCGCAGAATTAAAGCATCGCGTCTTAGCTACCGAACTGCAGCAAAAAACAAGCTCTTACACCACAACGAAAGCAATCAAGACTTATATTTACTTTAAACCATCAGCTACAAAATCAAGATTTTTGGAATAGGGTAATATTTACAGATATAAACATTTTTCAATCTTCTAAAAATGGCAAAATTGGGGTGTATAGACCAGATAATAATATATTTAATCCTCTAAATGTTGATAGATATCAAGCAGCTGGTCATTTTAGCGCCAATGTATGGGGATGGATTTCGTCTAGAGGAATGGGAATGGTATGGCGTATTGATGGCAGGTTTGTTGGGCAGACTTATTTGAACATTCTAGAAAACGTCATGTTTCCCAGTGTCAGTCAACAACATCGATATCGTACCATGGCCCAGCTACAGTCCAGATTTAAACGCAATCGAGAATGTGTGGGGGATTATTATAAAACGGTTGTATCGGCGTAATTTTATACCTCAAAATACTGAAGAGCTGTGGCACGGTATACAACAGCTTTGGAAATAACTCTCTGAAGAAGACAATTTCATAGTTTCTTTCACGCAGATGGACCGAAGACTACATGTTGTTATCAATGCTGATGGAGATATTACAAAATATTGTATGAATATTACAAATACACTGCACAAATGATCAAATGTTACAAGAATCGTATCAGTTTATTCAGGAACCAGTTGTATACGCATTTTTACGTCAAATAAGGCTAATTTTTTTCTTAATATGATGATAAGGACCTGAGAAAAACTGGTCAGTGCTTAAAAACTTAAAGTATCAAAGATAAAGTAAAACGAGCTAACGCGCACCGCCACTGGTTTTAAGAGTCACAAATGTGTGAGTTTTTAAAGTATGCGTCGATAGATATATAATAATAATATACATATTATCACTTGTCAAACCAGTGTTGTTGTGCGCTAACTCTATTTTACTGTATCTTTGGTACCTCGCGTTTTTAACAGCTGACAAATGTTTGAAAAAATATGAGTTTGATTAACTACGTTATGAAAATAGTGATCTTACAGTGGAATCTTGTACTTTAAATATACGTTATTAAATGGAAAAACATTATAGCCAAATACTTACTTCCTTCACTGGCGTCATCTACGAGAATGATCTCCTTCAGGAGAGGTCTGGGCGATCTGTTGATCACACTCCATACTGTTCGTAGCAGAGTAGACCAGGCTTCGTTGTGAAAAACTATAACAATTGACGTTGTAGGAAGGAGATTGGGATAAGATTTACTACGGCATCTGAAAAAGTAAAAAATAATGATTAAGTACAATAATGTTTTATGCTAATATGAAACTGAACTGACAAGAAGGTAAAAAGTGATTTTTTATCCTATCGAGACTTTAAATTGACTGAAATATTTAAGCAAACAGAAGGGCTCTTGGCAATGCAGGTTGGAAGGTTGGGAAGGAGGCAAACAACAACCTAAAAATTATACGTTAGGAAACATATAATTTGAAATCCAGTTTGAAATATCCTACCGAGCTGTACAACTACAGCTAGAGTTTCTGAAACTGTCTCTGAAAATAAAAAAGAACTATACAAGCTAAGAGACAAAAACGGACAGATAAGCAGGACATTCTGAAAATAATTAGACCTAAAGTCCACAGGACAATTTACCGACACGAGTTAACTACTGTTTGACGTTTCGATTTCCACTACGGACGTTGTTTTAAAAAATATATATATATATTTTTAAAAGTGTAATTTTCATTACACTCAATTGTGGCTTAATCTATGGTAAAAACTGATGGTAATAAACATCAACAAAACGAAATACATAAAAATAATGAGGGATCTAAGGTTCATAACACACAAAAATAAATCGCAGAATTTTCACGACCAGAGATACTATTTTGGGCCCAATACCTTTTTCAAATCCTCAAATATATCGAGAAATACAAAGGTAAACTGTCTTTACGACAGCCCTTGCTCTGCCTCTGATCGAACATAAGTTCGGCGCTCGATGAAGACCTGCCGCTGTTTTGGGGTAGAGATTCCACTGGATCTGAATTCGAAGTATTAAGAATACGAACAAGATATTGTCACAGTACTTAAAATTTTTATTATATCTACAGGATTAACAATATCATGTTTTATTATGTGTTCTGACAGGTTTTACGGTTGTCGATCAAATTTTTAGTATCGCTAAAACTGAATTAAGATTATCGTAAGTCGTAAATAAAAATGGAATATCATTTTAAAAATCGTAAAATTGAATAGCTTGAATTAGAAAATAAGTTTAATCATAATCTATTATGTCTTGTATAAGTATAATAACCTACGCCTACAGAAGATAAGCAAAGGTATTAAAAATATAAAAACACTCTAAATATAAATGCATATAAATAGCTTTGACGAAAACCAAAATCTCAGTGACACTTCTTCTTCTTCTTCTTCAGCCTTAAGTACAACTTTGGACATAGCCCCCCCCCCCCCCCCAAATCAATCCAGTGTCTTCTATTTTGCACCACTTGCTTCCAGTTGTATCCTCCGATCTTCTTAATATCATCCGCCCATCTCATTTGTGGTCTTTCTCTGCTTCTCTTTCCTAACCATGGTCTCCATTGTTGTATTTCGTGGTTCCATCTCTTATCCTTCAGTCGGACATTGTGTCCTGCGAAGCTTCATTTTAATTTGGCATCATGTTCTCCTGCGTCTTTTGCTGTCGTTTTGCTTCTAATCAATTTGTTTGTTTTTTGTCTATAAGTCTCACTCCGAGCATTGATCTTTCCATCGCTCTTTGTGCTTTTACTATTTTATACATGTTAGACTTGGTGAGTGTCCACGTCTGTGAGCCATAAGTGAGTATAGGGAGGATACACTGATAGTAAATTCTGGTTTTCAAATATTGCTATTTCAAATATAAGGCTTTTCAAGATCCAACACAGTTTTCCAAATCCTGCCCACGCTAATCTTATTCTTCTGGTAATTTCGGCAGTTTGTTTTCCTTTGTTAACCCTTAAGTACCATGGCGGGGTCAAAATTGACCCCCCGCGTTTTTAATGCCAAGTTTCGCTACCGAAACATAGATTGAGCATTGCGCGCTTTCTGCTAATCTTCGACCGGTAAGTGATTTATCGATCTACGAAAATTCCGTTAGTTTATCTGTTACTACTGCAGAGTTAGGCACGCATAGGGTCAATTTTTACCCGCTTATGGTATAAGTGTTTCTAGTACAATTAACGAGTAATTTAAAATGGCGGGGTGTAGTGGCAATAAACGTCCTCTGACACAGAAAGAACTTGAAGAGGAGGGACAAACAATTATGGACAATGGACTAGATAGTGACAGTGAGTTTTTAGACCAGGCTAGTGAACACAGTGATCACGAAACAGACAGTGAAGAGGAATGGGACGATGATGACGAAAAAAAATTGGCAAATTAATAACTCCGAAACTGGTAGTGAATATTCAGGTGAAGAAAGTGATATAGCTGACTCAAGGGATGTGTTTTATAGCAAAAATAGGTACAAGTGGTCTAAAACTTCTCCCACCTTTTCTCGTAAACGTAAGCATAATTTAATTAGTCATTTACCTGGTGTTATTGGAAAAGCTCGAGCTAGTACGCCAGAGAAACCAGCTGATGCTTGGGAATGTATTATTAGCCACGATATATTGCAAGAAATTCTTGAGAAAACCAATGAACGAATAACTAATATGGCTTCTAAATATAATTTACACAATTTATCGTGTCAATATACCAATCATATTGACATAATTGAATTAAAGGCCTTCCTAGGCTTATTATATTTAGCTGGGGTATTTAAAACCAATAATGAAGATTTAAGGTCTTTATTTGCTATGAATGGTACTGGCCGTGATATATTTCGAGCAACCATGTCACTAAACCGATTTTATTTTTTGATCGGAAGCCTTTGTTTTGATGACCCAGCTACTAGACAAGAACGTATTGCGCACGGAGATAAACTGGCAGCTATATCCAATATTTGTAATATGTTTATAATTAATTGGCAGTTCAATTATAGCTGTGGTAAATATCTCACAATAGATGAAATGCTTATTGCATTTAGAGGAAGGTGCCAATTCAGGATGTATCTCAAAAATAAGCCAGACAAATACGGTCTGAAAATGCAGTGTTTAGTAGACTCTAAGACACATTATTTGCTAAATGGTTTTATATATACCTGAAAAGATACACGCAGAGCAAATCCAAAAAAGTTATCCATCCCCACTCTAGATGTTTTGACACTTATTCCACCAATTTCTGGTACAAATAGAAACATAACAGCAGATAATTGGTTTTCGTCCATTGAGCTCATAAAAGAACTGAGAAGGCATAAAATTTCATATGTTGGAACTCTAAAAAGAAATAAAAGAGAGGTTCCTGCTGAATTTCAACCCCAAAAAAACAGGCCACCTAATTCTGCCTTATTTGGTTTTACAGGAAGCGAGAGCCTTGTATCTTTTGTTCCTAAGAAAAATCGTGCAGTGTTGTTAGTGTCAACTATGCATCATTCCAATACAATGGTTAATGGAAAGCCAGAGATTATAAATTTTTACATCGAGACAAAAGGTTGGGTGGATTCATTGGATAAGAAATGTGCATGCTATAAAACTGGCAGAAGAACTCGTAGATGGCTTCAAGTAATATGGTTTCGCATTTTGGACATTGCAGGATTAAATGCTAACGTAATTTTTAATGGAGTTCAGCAAAATCAAATAATGGAAAGATTGTTTCTAACCACTTTAGGTCAAGAACTTATTAAGGTCCATTTAACTCGTAGAGCTCAGCAAACTTGTTTACCGAGAGAAATTCGTAGTGCCATTTTTAAAGTTTCCGGACTTCAGGAATCAATGCCTGCCGCAAATCCAGAGCCACAACGACGAAAAAAGAGGGGAAGGTGTAAAATATGTCCATATTCCAAAAACCAAAAAAAAAAGAAAGCTCATCGTGCGATAAATGTCGAGATTTGCAAAAATCATTCCCGCATACAGACGTTATGCATAAGCTGTGTTGAAAATTAAGATAAAATCATGCTTGTCATTTTTGAGATACGAAATCTAAATCGATTTTTTTTATTTTAGGTAGGAGCTATGATACCTAGATTTCACCATTGGATATAAAAAAATTGCACATTGTTATTATTTTTCTTATAATTCGAGAAAGTGCATAGCTATGTTAATTTGACTGAATACAAAAGTTTTTTTTTAAATAAAGTTATATCTAATTAACCAAATTCGTTTATTTTTATATAAATGTAAAAGTAGTTGTAAACAAAATAATTTAAAATAAAACAAGTTAAAAAAAGAATATTTTTTGATACAAAAAAAATGGGGAGTCAAATTTGACTCTGCCATGGTACAAATGTTACTATTTTTGGCCATGGTAGTTAAGGGTTAACTTTCATTATCTGTCCCAGGTAGATATATTCGTTTACTGTTTCTAAATTTATGTTGTTCAACGTTTTTTCTCTAATATTCGGTGTATTTGTCATTATTTTTGTTTTTTTCAAGTTCATCTTAAGACCTACTTTTTCCGAAGCTTGAAATAGTTGCGTCATCATGGTCTGTAATTCTTCGAAACTTGTAGCGAATATTAAAATGTCATCAGCGTATCTTAAATGACTCAGTTTTCTTCAATTAATATTTATTCCTTTATCTGCCCAGTTATCCCAGTGGGAATGAGACGACGGGGTAGACCAAAGCTGAGGTGGATGGATGGGGTAACACAAGATGCGGAGAAGATCGGATTCGGCAACTGGAAAATTCAAGCAAGGGACAGAACAGAATGGCGTAGAACGCTTGAGAAGGTCGAGGCCCTCTAAGGGCTGTAGCACCAAGATGATGATGAAGATGATGATGATCTGCCCAGTTAATGTCTTTGAACACGACACACGTCCAAGTGTGAACAGCTTTGGTTTTGGAGATAACATCTCCCTGGCGAACTCCTGTGTTGATTGATATAGCTTTGATTTTTGCATCTATTTGTATTTTCATTGTAGCTTTCTTCTCGTTCTTTAGTTGTGCCATGGCTTGTTTTATTCCGAATGATTCTATATTAGGGAGTATTTCTGAGTTGACATCTTTCTCTCAAGATCTTCCTTTGCAATGTTATCGGGGTTCTTGTTTGATGAATATAAATCACGGTAAAATGTTTGAGTAACTTTTAGAATTTCGTTCTTTGCTCTTATTTCTTTTCCATCTTTATCCTTCAGTGAGATTATTATGGACTATCCTAAGTTTTATCTTAAGCATTTCAGGCGTCGGTTCTTTTCTAT